TTTTGGGGGCTCCTTATTATGGTTATAGTATAGTATACCCCAAAATCCTTTGCTATTAATGCCCCTATATTAGCCTTCCCAAACGCTCCAAGCCCTGTGCCGTTTTGCATGCATCAAGTATCCGATGGACCTAACAAAGGAAGCGATCCACAACCAATGAGTGTGTTCCCCTTTCCAAGGTATCTTGGCTACGCCAGGTAACCGGGAAGCTTTTCGCAACTTACAACTTAAGCCCTGTCCGCTAAACCCCGATCAGAACAGGAGAAGGTTAGCGCAGAAAGGAAGAACCACGAGACGCGCTCGGCCCTCAACCCTGAACCCCAAATCCCTAAACGCTAAACCCTAAACCCTGAACCCTCAACCCCAAATCCCACTTCCCTCTTTATTGGTCTCCAAAGTCCGCAAGACGAGGAAGCGTTGGCTCAACGCCGTGGACCCAACGGGAGGATGTTTGCACTACTTGGCCGCCGTGCCGCTGGGGTCGACTTAGCGTCAGGACTCGGTGACCCTAATCTTAAACCGTAAACCCTGAACCCTAATTGGAAGATTAGGGCTTCCTAAAACCCTTAAACCCTAAACCCTAATTTCGGGATTAGGGCTTCCTCAAACTCTAAACCCTAAACCCGAACCCCTAATTGGGGGATTAGGGCTTCTTAAAACCCTAAACCCTCAACCCTAGCTAGAGGTTTAGGGCTTCAGAGGTTTCGGGCTCCAGGGGTTTCGCCGACTTCTTGTGAAGACTCGTTGACCCTAAGGGTTTAGGGTTTAGGGTCGAAACAAAAAGCATCAACTATGCTCCGAAATAGGACTTGAGGTTCAGGGTTTGCCTGTGGCCCAAAAGGAAAAGGCTTACCCTTTTAAGGAACTCTCTCTCTCTCTCTCTCTCTCCCTATATAGAGGCTGAGGCTGCAGACCTCAGGTTCGACCCTTTCGGGATTTTGGGGTTTAGGGTTTAGGGGTACGTAGGGGTTTAGGGTTTAGGGGTTTAGGGTTTAGGGTTAAGGGGTTTAGGGTTTAGGGTTTAGGGTTGTTGGGCTGAATATCTGAAACAGGGGTTTCATTGGTTTAGGGTTTAGGCTTTGGGTCAAGCATTGCACTTGACTCCTAGAGGTTTCGCGATCTTTGTTGCGCGATCTGGGTGTTCCGAGCTAATTTGTACGTGCTTGGAGGGCCGAAACTTACGGGGATTTGGGGCCAGGCAGCGATTCAGGCCCTAAGCCCTAAACCCTCAAACTCTGACCTTTCAGCCCGAAACCCCTAAACCCTTAACCCCTTTTGGGCTTTAAGGCTCGGGGCTTGGAGTTTATGCCCTCAGCGAAAACGCAACACCTTAAGCCTTAAGCCCCAAACGCTTCAGGGTGTAGGGTTTTAGCGCCCGGCCCTCTTTATGCTTTGCGGCTTAGCTTTAGGGTTTAGGGTTTAGGGTTTAGGGTTTAGGGTTTAGGGTTCAGGGTGTGGGGGTTAAAGGTCATTGAAACGCTCGAGTGGCAGACCTGCTGAAAGTCTAAGGCAGGAGAGGCACGAGACCAGCGAGCACCTCACCAAAGCCTACGTACAAGAGTCGTCGGGTCGCTGCATGCTGCGACCCGGCCCAGTTACTAGGGCTGATGATATAAATCCTGCATTGCCCATAATAGCCATTTTAAGGAAGTTACCATACTTCCCATAGTTTAGGGTCCCCCGGTTACCATACTTCCCATAGTTTGGGGTCCTTAAGGTAATGCAGGATGTATGTCCTCAACAGTAGTCTTAGCTTCATCTCGGGTTACTCTAAACCCTAAACCCACCTGAGCAGAAGAGCAACCCAGGGTGATGCCTTTGTGGTACGGTTGGGCTCATGGACAAAGTCCTGCCGGTTTAAACCCGGATTCACTAAACCCTAAACCCTGAACCCTAAAACCCTGAACCCTGAACCCTGAACCCTGAACCCTGAACCCTAAACCCTAAGCCCTGAGCCCTGAACCCTGAACCATGAACCCTGAACCCTGAACCCTGAACCCTAAATCGTAAACGCTGAACTTTGAACCCTAAACCCGGAACCCTAAACCCTAAACCCTAAACTGTAACCCCAAACCCCTAAGCCCTTTATCTCCGGAAAGTTGAGGGTCCAGGATTCTGCCAAGCAGCATCGGGTCGACTTCGGGCTCCGGATAACCAACGGGGGCCTTAGTGATTAGAGTAGGGTGTTGGGATACATTAGCGCTTTAGGGTTTAGGGTTTAGGGTTTAGGGTTTAGGGCGCTTATCTAGGTGATATTGCTAGTCATTCGACTGTTTCGGAACGTCGGGCTCTTGGTTCAGGGTCGAGGGTAACATAGGGGCCTAAATGATCGCGAACACTATTTTTGGGGGGTTCCTTGTTGTGAGTATAGTATCAAGGCCCCAAAACCCTACTTGAATTATTCAAGCCCCTATAGTCCCATAGTAGTTCCTTTCTAGGACCCGAAACCCTAAACCCTAAACCCTAAACCCTACACCCTAAATCCTAAACCCTAAACCCAAACCCCCAAACCCTGAGCTTTGAACACTAAGCCTTAAACCCTGAACCTTATACCCTAACCCTTGAACCCTAAAGTCTAAGCCCTTTATCTTATGAGTACAGTATACCCCAAAACCCTACTTTTACAGGCCCTACATTAACAGGATTTCGGAAGGACGGAAAGAGAATCCCACTGCACCCAGACTTGTAGGCTGCTCGCTTTTGCTTTTCAAATCGCAAGTCGGGGGCTTCCTGTGCTAGGTTTAGGGTTAGGGTTAGGGTTTAGGGTTTAGGGTTTAGGGTTTGAGGTTTAGGGTTTAGGGTTTAGGGTTTAGGGTTTGCATATGGAGTCCTTCCGGGGCCTTGGCACCGAGAATTCGCAGAAACGGCTCCCCTGCCATAAGACTTCAACACCCCCTCACGAAGGAATAGCTGAAGTTCAAGGAGGGATCCTTTGTAACGAACCTTGACTTCAGGACATGGGATCCTATACACCCCTTGTAAAGCCCTACAGTAGAAAACACGGTACATAGCATATGGGGACCCCGAAATTAGAGCTCTGAAGAATTCACAACAGTGCCCCCTTGTAGTCCCGTTTGGTATTGTCCACCACAAGTCAAGAGCCTACTCAAATTATTAAGGTCACGTATCACAACAAAGATGGCAGACCCCGCAAAGCCATAAAACCCATTCAACAACTATTCTAAACTTATGATTTGAGCTTACTTAAGGGATCTCCCCTGAAAGCGTATAAAACACCTTGCGCAAAAAAAAAAAAACATAAGCACCCTATGAACAAGCCCTAAAATCTAGTCCCTAAAAAGCTCTACTCAAGGGGTCCGTGGGAAGCTCTCAGGAAAGCAACCTAAACCCTAAACCCTAAACCCTAAACCCCTAAACCCTAAACCCTAAACCCTATCACCCCTCAAGCCGAAACCTTACGGGGCCACCTCTTAGGGTTTAGGGCTTGGGGTTTAGGATTTAGGGTTTAGGGTTTAGGGCTTGAGGACCCCTAAACCCCAAGGCCCGTAAACCCCGGACCCTAAAAACTCAGATCACCAGAACCCTGAGGAAAGCCGAGTTCTTCAGTGATCTGGCGATCTCCGCGGAGCACCGCCCACGCAGCTGGGCCAGTGCTCGGAAACACGTTCTTGGGGTTCCTTTAAGGGCTCTATATATGGCCAACGCACCTTAGTTTCCACGGCTTTCTCCTTGCTTTTCGCGGGTTATTCTTGTTTCAGGCTTGTTGTCTTGCTTTCGGGGTTGCCTGGGGGGTGGGTGGGGGGTAATGACGGAGAACTTTGATCAAAAGCGCTGCAGTTTTGGCTTATTTATCCACTCTCTTGCGTTCGGGGGTGGAGCAGTTGGGGGGTGTGAGGGGTGACTAGTGACGAACATGTGTCGAAAACTTTCATCCACAAACGCTGCAGCTTGGGTTTCTAGCCCCTGGCATGATTAAGGCCCGGGAAATAGCTTCTTGAACCTGTCAACAGGGCCTAACCTTCAACCCAAAACCCCGAACTGTAAGCCTGAAATTTTAAGCTGCAAGCCGTGCCCCCAAACCCAAAGCCCTAAACCCTAAACCCTAAACCCTAAACCCTAAACCCTAAACCCTAAACCCTAAACCCTAAACCCTAAACCCTAAAGCCCTAAGCCCTAACCCGTAACCGGCAGTGTGGGGAAGAGCGGGTCCTGTTTGCGACTCGAGGAGCCGGCAGCTGAGGGGAGGGGTGGTGACGTCCGTATAATTATAGGTTTAGGGTTTAGGGTTTAGGGTTTAGGGTTTAGGGTTTAGGGTTTAGGGTATATATGGGAGTTTCCGAAAATAAGGGGTACCGTATTTTGGGGTCCGTATAATAAGGATCCTACTATTCAGGGTACTATATTGGGGTCCCCTATTTTCGGAATCCCCCATATTTAGGATAGTATAGTATATTATAGGATATAATAGCATGTTAAACGATATTATAGGATAGTCTAGTATATTTTAATGCATCAACCGATTCTATGGGCTCAGCCGGGCAACCAAGCGACTGAAATGGGGCCTCTAGACTCTACAGCCATTCAACCCTGAACCCCGAATTACACCCTGAAGCCTAAAGCCCAAACTAAGCAAACGCCTTACGCGTTATCCCCGAAGCCCTAAACTAGGTCGCTCTAAACTTAAAATCTCTACTTGGACATATTCTTAAGCTGGAATCAGAGACGCAAATTTTCAGTTGCGTCCAAAGAGTAAGCCCAGAGTTCCAAGCCCAATTCTACAAGGCCTATATCATTGTTTCACTTCGCGCCACAAGTGTTCAGGGATCTGAGGGTCAGGGGTATAGGATGTCGGGTATAAAGTTGAGGTTTCGAGGGTTCGTGTTAAGGACAAGGACTTTGGGTGCCTGAAACCCTAAGCCCCTAAACCCT